CTTTGGCTTGGGGAAGATAAATTTCTAAGTAGCATCCCAGGCTAAAGCATGAATACATGGATGCACCACTCCATCTGATGCTCGAGAAGCTGCCCTGGAAACTGAGGTTGTCTCTCACTTAGGACTGGGTAGCAGGAAAGCCAGTACAGGTGGAGTAGAAGGAACATGGGCTGTAGTCAGATAGACTGAGGGTAGAAATCTGCTGCTGCCTTTTAGTAACTGTATGTCTTTGGATCATAACTTAACCAAGCTGCGTGTCAGGGTCTTCTGTGAAAAAAGGAAGTAATATCTGTATTAGTTAGGGTTACTCAATAAAATACTGGAAATCCAGTTAAATTTGAATTTCAGATAAACAACCAATTATGATTAGTATAAGTATGTCCCAAATATTGCATGAGGGCATAGTTATTCTAAAATCTATTTGTTGACTGTCTGAAATGCAAGTTTAACTGAGCATCCTGTATTTTTGTTTGTTAAATCTGCCACCCTTAGAATCAGTCAGGGTAGTCTAGTTTAAGCTGCAGTACATTTAACTCTAAAATCTCAATGGCAAATTCCATTCTACCATTTGTGGTTCCCTGAGTGTGGTCCCTGGACTAGCAGCTTCAACATGACCTGGAAACTTCAGAAATGTCAAATCTTGGACCCAGTCAGGCCTGCTGAATCTCTGGGGATGGGGCCCAGCAATCTGTGTTTCCACAAGCCCTTCAGGTGATACTGATGAACTAAAATTTGAGAACCACTGCACACATTTTCAGAATATCCAAAGGTCAAGCATATGTCCTGTGGCTCAATAATTCCATTACTAAGTATATAGCAAGAGAAATGATTGAATTTTCCACCAAAATGCATGTATGGAATTTTCATAATAGCTTTATACATAATAGCTCAAAGCTGAAACAACCCAAATATCCATCAACAGGAGAATGGGTAAATTGTGGTATTTATAACATACAACACTATACAATAATAAAAACAACAAATTGCGTTTATGTGAAACAATCTGGGGAAATCTCATAGACATCTTTTTGGGTGAAAAAATAAGATACAAGTGAAAATGTATTATATGATTTTATTTATACAACGTTCCTAAATCAGGTAAATTTGACCTATGGGGATAGAAATCAGAATAGTGGTTAGTAGGGTACGGGTGGATGGTTGTATTGACTGGGAAGAAACATGAAGGAAACTTCTGAGGTGCTGGAAATATTCTACATCTTGATCTCATGATGGTTATACTGGTGTATTCATATGAAAATGTATAGACGTACACTTAAGATTAATGCAATTTATGTATGTTACTCCTCAAAAAGAGAAAAGCAAATATAATTAACATAACAAATATTTGTGGCTAAAACAAAAACATTCATACTTTACTCCTGCTACATGGTTTTAAAGCTGCCACTCACTTAACTTGGCCCATCCAGTCACTGGGTCACACTTACCTTCAAGGGTGCAGAGAAGTGCATCTTTCCTGGAGGGAGAGATAGAACAGAACATTTGTGAACAACACTCCTGACTTCAGCATACCTACTCCTTCAAGTTCTGTGTAATAGACATCCTTTCATTCATTCATTCTCTTATCTATTCAGCAAGCATTTGCTGATTAGTATCATGAACAAGGCACTTTGTTAGGCATGTGAGATAAGAAAGAATGATCTTGCTCTTATGGAGCTTATATTCTAGTTAGAAAAAAAGACATTAGAAATAAATTATGTAAATCATTAATTAGAATTGTGATAGGCACAATGGCACTTTGGCCTCTTACCCTCATTGTTTTCTTCAGGACCCGGTATCTCTCTTGTAATCAGGCATCACCAGCTGAGGTTTGCACGATAGATTCTGGACCATCCTTTCCGACACTTGACAATGCTTCAACCGCTACATGAGTCCTCAGCAGCTCCATAGATGGGGCAAAGTGTACAACTGTCCAAGCCAGTGTTTAGTGGAGGGACCCAAGATTCTAAACTGTGTTAGGAGCTGAGTGCAGAATCAGAATAATTGGGCAGGCACAAGAAAGTCTAACAGGGCTTAACATTCACTGCTGAAAAAGCACATGATCCAACCAAATATTCTGGATTATTGACTAACTTTGCAAGAGTGGAAGGTAGAGAAATGTGAAGCCAGAAAAACAACAGAAGGTCTCAAAAGGTAAGATACAAAATAGCCAGAAGAACATCAAACATCTAGAATAGAGTTTCTCAAACTTGATTCTGCATCAGAATTACCTAGAGGGCTGTTAACCCAGGTTGCTGAGCCCTAGCCCCAGTTTCTGATTCAGTAGATCCAGAGAGGGGCCTAAGACTTTGCATTTTTAGTAATTCTCATGTCATGCTGATTCTGTAGGTCCCTGGACACTGTGAGAATCAATGACCTAGAAGAAGAAAATGCAGTCGAACTGCTCTCACTTTCCTCCCACTTTGAACAAGCTGCTTTTATTCTCAAACAGGAAACTGAAAAATTCTACCTGTTATTGCTATTATTTTTTCAAACTCTGCCATTAAGATGTAGTGATGTGGTGACAATGAAACCTCACACTGTCCTGGGTCTACCTTGAGTCCACTACAAAGGCATTAAGTTAGCTACTATTTTCTTATTCATTGTTTAGAAGTGCTTTTCTTTGAAAAAAAAATTTATTTGTTGGGTTTTTACTACAAAGGGCAATTTGCTGTCCAGGACCACAAGACTGGAGCTGGATCCAGTTATAAAAGACAACACATAGGAGATGATCATGGAGGCCCTCCTGAAGCAGAAGCTAGGATCCTCTAGTGGTGAGGGAGGAGAGGCTAGTGAAATAGTGGGGCTGGAGTACTAAGTAGTATTATGGCAACAATTTTCACATTGCAAATATCTTTTCCCCGAGCCTTTATAAAATAATACTTTATTGCATTTTTCCATTAGTCCTAAACAATTGATAAATTATCACATCACGATTATAATCATATTGATTCATGAGAAGACATTTATTGAGTCTTTAATAAGTGCCAATCACTAGTACAGATTTTGGAAATATGCTAATGAATGAAGTGAATCTACTACAGGTATTTAACTTATAGGGATAAATTCTTTAACTACAGTTTTTTAATCATGTCGCTCATTCCCCTGTCGTCACACCCCACTACTGTTCATTTTAGTCTCTCTACTTTGGTTGCAATTCATTGTTCTGCTCTCATCTCTCCCTATTGTCCTGATCAATATGCCACTTGGCTTGCTCTTGGTTCGTTCTTTCCCTCCTGGTGAAAAGAAAGATCCTCTCATTGCTTTTAAGCCCAACTCTCACTTACCATCCTCTAGGGTCCACATAAACCGCTTTATTCACTGAAGTCTCTTTTCTCCACTCCAGCCCAGAGTCAGCACTCTCTCTCTCTAAATTTCTTTAGGACTTAATGTGCCCATTAGGCACTTCAGTGTATGCAGTACTGAATTTGTATTGAACCATGCAATGTGTAAGTGGTACCCTCTCCTTGCAATTTTAATTCATCAGAATTATGCATAAGGTTTGCTCTCCCTTCATAGAATTGTATTTCCATGGTAGTGTCATTTAAAGTCCAATAATTCTTCATGGCACTATGATGGAAGGAAATTTAGTCGTTCTCAAACACTTTGCTGATCAGAAATAATCATCTGAATTATGTGTGTGTGTGTGTGTGTGTGTGTGTGTGTGTGTGTTTTCAAGTCCCAACTTTAGATCAACTCTCTCAAAATTTTCAGATGATGTGGCCTGAGAAACCATGTTTTAAACAAGAGCTTCTAGTCGATTTTACGAAGAAGCAAGTTTGGGATCCTCTGGGCTGCACATTAGAAACATCCAGGGAGTTTATAAAAGACATCAATATCTAGAATAATTAACTCAGAATCTCTGAGGGTGCCGTTCCCCTGGAGTAAGCATTTTCTAAAAGCTCCCTGAGTGCTCTCAGTGGGCAGCCAGGGTTGTGGATCACTGCGCCATCTAATTTAAGACAGTGAAAATAGGGAGTTTAACACAAAATCTAGTCACGTTTGTTTCCTCCATAGGGAATGTGAGGAGAAGTCCTTAAATTAAAAGAATACTATTGGCCAATTCAATTCTGATAATATAAGTAATAAATATTTATTTTTGGAAAATACAAAAAATATTGAAAAGTAAACAAAGTCACTCATCAAGTCAACTTTCAATGCTGTGATCTATCTCATCCTCGCCAGCTTCCTCTTACATCTTATGGATAGACAGCTAGACATCTTCCCCTATTGGATGTTAGTAACAAAATTAGTTTTATATTTACACATTATTTTAACATACCTTTTTTCTGTTGTTATAAAGTGTGTATTTTTATGTCGTATTTTTCTAAAACATAATTTTAAAGAATGCCCTCCATTAATGGTTGTATAAAATTGTTTAGCTGAAATCTTTTGTTTCCATATGTTTTTCTATTATAAATAACGCCATTGTAAATATTTTTTACTTAAAACTTTGTACACACCACTGATCCTTTTCCCGTGTTATGGAAGATCTTACCTCTTCACACAATATAACCTCTTCCTCTGTCACATAAGAAAGCATGTGGTTATTTCCTAAATAACTAGAAGTGGCTTTCTGAGTTAAAATATGATCATACGACTCTGAATTTCTCTTCAGAAATATGATAGCAGCTTACCAAAAATGTATGGAGTTAACTGTGTCCATTGCTGTCATTAACACAATTATTAATATACGTTTAAGTGGTTGACTTTCCAGGTAAAATTTGTACTTCGTTGTTTTAATTTGCATGATTAAGGAATAGTAACTTTGAATATTTTTTCCCTAAGCATTTGTCTAGTCATTCCTTTTGAGAACTGCCTATTTATATACTTTGTCCTATTATTTTTTTGAAACGAGTTATTTTTTTAACACACTAATTTGTATGAATTCCTTATAAATGTTGGTAAGTTTATCATTTATTTTTTTCCCTCATCATGGTTTTTCCCTCTTATGCTTTTTTCTTGTTGTTGCTGAGGAAGTTTTGCCCTGAGTTAACATCTGCTGCCAATCTTCCTCTTTTTGTATGTGAGCCACCACCACAGCATGTCCACTGAGTGATGAGTGGGGTACATCCATGCCCAGGAACTGTACCCAGGCTGCCAAAGCAGAGTGTACTGAACTTAACCACTATGCCTCTGGGGTTGGCCCTCATAATTTTAAAGAAAACTTTATTTAGTCAAAGTTGTCAATCATTTCTTTTGGCGTTCTTGATTTTGATATTCTACTTGTCTTTCCTAATCCAAGTTCAGATTATTTATTCATTTTTTTTAAATTCTCTCGTGGTTCCATATATAGAATATAAGTTTTCATGCATGTTAGTGTGTATATGGAAATTGATACGTGTAGTGTGAGTCTTTTAATTCTTCTAGAATGTGTTGCAATAAATGAACAAGGCATCTTTTTTTTCACTTCTAGAAATAATTATCCATTTCCCTTAGCACCAATTTAAAAATAGTTTTACTTATTCTAGTTTATGTACTACTTTTATCACATACTGAATTTTTTCTACGCATTTTTCCCCTCCATTTCCTACTTTGTGTAATCGCTCTGTCAGTCTATTCTGACACCCATTTCACACTGTTTAAATGATTTCAATTTCATAATGCATGTGAATAACACTTAGCACAAACCCTACCTTATTTCTCTTTTATAATAAATTTAAACAATTTGTGCAAAACTGAAGATGATATTTATAGTTAGAGATAATGAAAGGTGAACCCAATATAGATAAAATCCATAATAAATTTCAACTTATATCCAATAGTATTTAATCTAATTCAGATTCACCTTTTAATTTTGAAGCACAGTAGTCCCCTTATCCATGTTTTTGCTTTCTGTGGTTACAATTACTCTTGGTCAATCATAGTCCAAAAATATTAAATGGAAAATTCCAGAAACAAATGATTCATAAGTTTTAAATTGGCATCATTCTGATGAAATCTCCCGCAGTTCCACTTTGTGCCACTCAGGACATAAATCATTCCTTTGTCCAGCGTATCCACTGTAAACACTACCAGCCCATTAGTCACGTAGCCATCTGGATTATCAAATCAACCTTAGTGGTATTCTAGTGCTTGTCTTCAAGTAACCATGACATCATCTGCTCCTGACATGCAACCACTGACATCATTATGACTTAATGATCCTCCTTCTGACCTATCTTTAGAAAGTCAATAGTAGCCTAACACTATGTCACAATGCTTACGTCATTGCTAGAAGAAGAAGGGAGAGTACAATACAATAAGCCATTTTGAAAGAGAGAGAGACTACACTCACATACCTTTGTTAAGTAGGTTATAATTGTTCTATTTTACTATTATTTTCATTAATCTCTTACTGTGCCTAACTTATAAGTTAAACTTTATCAAAGGTATGTATGCATAGGAAAAAACAAAGTATATATTAGATGCAGCACTATCTGCATTTCAGGCATCCCTGGGAGGTCTTGGAATGTATCCCCACCATTGAGGGGGGGACACCATATTTCGCTTTCTCCTACTCACATTATATAAACACCTTAGAACTTGTCTTTAGTTATCTTAGGATAATTTCTATGATTTCATCCATTTTATACCTTTTCTCCTTAGAGGTTAACTGTTAACTTTGAGAAGTACTTTTTTTATATCTATGGCTCATACCAGATGTATTAGTCAGCTAAGGCTGCCATAACAAAATGTCATAGATTGGGTGGTGAAAACAACAGACATTTATTTCTCACTGTTCTGAAGGCTGGAAGTCCAAGATCAGGGTGCCAGCAGGGTTGGTTTCTGGTGAGGGCTCTCTTCCTGGCTTTCAGAAGGCCATCTTCTTATTGTGCCTCACATGGCATTTCCTTAGTGAGTGTGTATGGGAGAAGAGAGCAAGAGAGAGAGAATGAGCTCTCTGGTGTCATTTCTTATAAGACACTAATTCTATAGGTTCCGGACACCAACCTGATGATTTCATTTAACTTTGGTTACTTCCTTCATGGCCCCGTCTCCAAACACAACCACACTGGAGGTTACGGCTTCAAAACATATGAGTTCTGAGGGAGGGGACACAAACATTCAGGCTATAACACCAGATAATTCTTAGTGAAATCAGTATTTTACTTTATATACAAAATGTAATTTATGGCAAAATTTTCTGGAATGCATTACTGCAGAAATTGGGGCATGTGAGTCTACAATGGATTATGGAATAGATATCCTAAATATTCTAATTGGCATTCTTGGTAAAAGACTCATCTGTGGTCTCTTGTGACATTTAATTACTCACCTTGTTTATACTTTCTGCCAACTTATTTAAGCTTACTTTAATCCCTGACAGTTGGGAAAACACTCATAACACATGTGTAAACAATTATTTCTGAAATGTCTTTCTTCTAGAAGCATGATTAATCAAAGGTTACTGCACAGTCTAATATTGTCCTTTCTGGATCGAGCCTGTAACTATTATGCTGTGAAGCTCCCAGAAATTGCTCTATTCCACCAAGAAGCTTAAACTGCTCTTTGACACACAACCCTTTGGATGGTCTATCTTGTTACGTTCCACTTCATACAGTAATCAGCTAGAGCTAGACACATTTATTATAAGAGCAAAATAGTGCGTCTGATCTAGGGATCAGAGATGGAGAAAGATACAAGACTTGACAGCCATAGACTTCTAAAAACAGACTGGCCTGAAATGAAAATTTGTGTGAGCTAGAACACTTAGTGTTGTGACAGGCAGCTTACATCTAAATATCAGAGTCTTCACCAGAGACCTCTCAGAAAAAGTGACGTTTTAATAAGATTGTTGCATGTCTGCATTGGGTCAGCCACTAAGCCTCAGCATAGCAAACCCCAGATCAACATATGAAACTTTGTCTTTACCTTGTGTTAAGGGAATATCAATTAAATAGAAAAGAAATTAAAACGTCAGGCCTCGATAATATAGCATTAAATGATAAACTGAACTGCCAAACAGCAAAGCCATTATGTTAACGGTATTGTGCGTTACTATGACTTGTGTTTACTTCTGTACTACACACATTTTATTCTGCTCGTGCCTTCCAGTCTCTGGCCTCTTAAAATGATTAAAAGCTGTAATTTTTCCTTAAATATATCTCCTATGTCGCTAATTACATTCTGTAGACTCTTCCATCCTTATTCGTGTGACCGTTGCTTGTATTTTACAGTAAACTATTGTCAGCTGAACAACCTAGCTGTAATGCCAGGTAAGGCCACACACTCAATGCTAAATCACATTACTAAATACTTTTTTCTTGGAACTTGTTTTATCGACCTCGTGAGAAAGGTTTAATTGTAAAGGTGCTAAATGGGAATCCGAAGAATTTATTCCTTTTTCTCAAGCAAATTTTTATGCTGCTTTGCTTAAAAGCATGTAATGATGCCTGCGGTGTGCGAGATATCAAAGAATACATAATGCTACTCAAATCACTATGGCCTGCACATGCGTTAAGCACCCATCCTGTTGTCAACTGTCCACTCCCAGGGTATTTGCTGAAAGATTCAGATTTTCTTTTTTGTGTGTGCTTTAATGTTCTTTTTTAAATTGAGGTCATATTGGCTTATAACATTATGTAAATTTCAGGTGTACATTATTATATTTCAGTTTCTGTATAGACTGCATCGTGTTCACCACCAATAGTCTAGTTTTTGTCTGTCTTCATACACATGTGCCCATTTAACCCTTTTGCCTTCTCCCTATCCCCTTCCCCTCTCATAACCACCAATCTATTCTCTTTATCTATGTGTTTGTTTGTTTATCTTCCACATACAAGTGAAACCACGTGGTATTTGTCTCTGACTTATCTCACTTAGCGTAATACCTTCAAGGCCCATCCATGTTGTCACAAATGGCAGAATTTCATCATTTTTTATGGCTGAGCTGTATTCCATTGTATCTCTATGCCACATCTTCTCTATCCATTCATCTGTTGGGCACTTGGGTTGCTTCCAAGTCTTGGCTATTATGAATAATGCTGCAATGAACATAAGGGTGCATATAGCTTTTTGAATTAGTGTTTTGATGTTCTTTGGATAAACATCCAGAAGTAAAATAGCTGAATCTTTAATGACTCTGAGTTCTTATTTTCTTTTGCCTCAGTTAGACATCATTGTGCTCTAAAATCTAAACATCAAATGGCTAGTCACAGTGGCCTCTCCATGAGCAATCACTGTTTATTCCAAAAACAAACTTAATGTTCCCAGAAAATTAGTTATTCCTCAGTTATTGCAAGTTAGCATTACACTATAGGGCATACACCAATCATAAGCATAATAATAATATTATTTAAAATGTCCAGAGCATTTCATGATTCTCCAGATAATTCTTGATCTTTGCATACAGGGAGAATATGGTTCAGTGGTCCTGAAAGTTGCTGTATTATACTGCAACAGATGCTGAATTCTTGAGATTAATTCAATGTCATGAAAATCCAATCTTAGTGGATGACGAATCGTATCACTCACTTACCTTCAATACCAGGTGTTGATAAACACATCCCTAGCTGCCTGAAAGGGCACATCCTTAGCTGTCATTAATTATCAAGTTTGTATTCATTCTGTTACATCCATGATGGCTTCCAGGGGAGAGCTGAGAAATGTGAGGATGTGGTAGAATTTTAGAAAGATCTGTACAGACGGGCTTTGGGAACAAAATGGAATCAATAGAGAAATGTAGCTCAGATGACCTTGGTTCTAGACGTTTTGTCGAATCACAGATTATGACATCACTACACCATTCTTAAGTATTTTGACCAGTTCAATTGGTCAGTTCCATATGGAGAGGATGGTTGGAGGACTGGGACCAGGAGAAATGAGTCTTTTAATTTAATTGATCAATTAATTATTTTTCAAAATTGTTGTTTTGCTAGTCTGTATGCCTCTACAGCTACCTTAGGCCCTGCTGCTCTGCCCCAATCCCAGCATTATTTTTCACAAACATTTCCTAACTAATTGATTTGCCCCTCATGCAGCTTCAACGTCTATAGCTCTTGTCGTTCTCTTTTATTATAAATACATCTGTGCTCATTACATCCTAGTCTATGTAACACAAATTATATATGCTAAAGAGCAAGATCCTATGGGCATTAATTTTGAAACATCGTAGTAAATCATATTTTCTAGCAATTAGGAAGACAATTGAGTTAAATTGAAATCATTATTTTCTTTCACCCTTTGTAAAATAAACCTTTTTTCTGAATATAATTTAGACCATAAATATCATATAGAAAATATAGAAGTTCTGAAAAATATTGTAAAAATCACCCATCACTCCAGGAAAACCATCGCTGAGATGTTGCTATACTTCTTTTGATAAAAGTTCTTGAATCTATAATATGTGGGAAATTTCCTCACTGCAGTTACATAAAACTTTATAGCACAAATATTTTACCATGTTATTATTATTTTGCTTTCAACATAGGATGTTATGACTGCACGATATTCTATTATGTTAGCATGTTATAATTTATTTTTTTCTCTCAAGATATAGTTCTATAATAGACATCTTAGGGTAAAATAGTTTTTATTAATTTCAATTTCTCTGTAATAGTTTTCTATGAGTAGAATATTTTGTGTTTATACTTAGAAATATTCTTCCACACAGAATGACAATTTGCTTTTGCTGGGTATGTAAATTTAGGGAAAAGCCTATTTTCTCAATATTATTAATAATGCAATTTGTAATAGCATTTCTTGACACTATACTAATTAATAATGTGATTCATTATCATACCAATATAGAGATATGTATATGGTACTGTACAGATTCCAATTCCACTTCACCTTTTCCCAGCTTTGGACAACTTGTCTAATTTGACAGAATAATGGTACTTCCACTTCATAAGCATTTCTTTTTCTCTATCAGTGAATTTGCCTCATGAGATTGTTAAACATTTATATCCCATTTTTAAGCCAATCATTGTTTATATCTTCTGCTTAACCTACACTTTAGACACTCCTCTCCATGCTAAGTCGATTAAATAACATTTTTTCTTACCCAACTGTGGGAAATATATGGCCATAATACTTTGTATCAGGAATTATTTATCTCATTACCTGAGCCTTCTTGACAGTGTTACAGATGCCCCTCTTTCCACTGGAAACATATAACATAATCATAACTACCACTATCAGAGCACTCAAGTTTTTACTAGGCACTTTACATATACTGTCTTGTTCAGGCCTCAACACTGCACAATAGAGGTTGAGGTTGAAGGAATTTTAATAACTACTGGATATTTTGTTAGATTTATATTTTTGTAATATTCTTAGCCACTTTTCAAATTAAGAGCATATTAGCTTAAGTGAATTCAAAATTTTCCCCCATTTATATGGTTTTGCTCCTTCATATTGATAATGTAGTGAATTGCATTGGTTGATCTTTGGGTGTTAAACGAACCTTGAATTCTTGAAATAAATCCATGTTTTATTAACCTTTTTATATATTGATGGATTTAGTTTGCTAATATTTGTGTAGGTACTTTGTTAGTATCTATATTAGTGAGATATGGGGGATTGTCTTCTCATTTTTCTAAGGGTCTTATCAGGGATTTGTAACAGGCTTTCTCTGGTCTCGTCAGTTATGTTGGCAAATGTTCCTTCCTGTACCTTTTGCTGTAAGGGTCATATAGAATTGGTATTATTTCTTCCTTAAATGTTTAGAAGAATTCTCTAATGAAGCTTTACGAGTCTTCATAAGTAGTTTTCCTATTGGGAAGATTTTTAATTGTGAATTACATTTCTTAAACAGTCTAGGAATATTCAGATTTTCTATTTCTTGTGCAAGCTTTGGTAAGTGATGTTTCTCAAGGAATATGAACATTTCATCTACATGTTCAAGTGTACTGCATAATTTTTGTTTGTTTAATCACTTTCTGAGAGTGTCAAAATATACGTGACTTTTTTTTTTAAATTTTATCTTTTTTTAGTTCGGCAGTTGTTACTTCATATTTTTCAAGTCTATTTAGTAATGTGTATATATATTCATTATTATTCTTCCTTTGTTTTTGTTAGCTCCATTTATCAGAATGTAATATCCACTTTGACAGAAAACTTCAATTTCTGTTTTTTCCTAATAAGAAATTTGATAACCTGACATTATCTTCCATAATATTGACCTGATATACACTTTTTTCCCCAATCAATGAATATCTTGGTGATATTATTCTTTTTTTTTCTTTTTGCAAGGAAAGATTTGCCCTGAGCTAACATCTGTTGCTAAACTTCCTTTTTCCGTCTTCCCTAAAACCCCAACACATAGTTGTATATCCTAGTTGTAAATCATTCTAGTTCTTCTATGTAAGCTGCCACCACAGCATGGCAAGGGACAGACAGGGGGTGTGGTTCCACAACGAGGAAGTGAACCCAGGCCACCAAAGCGGTGAGCACCGAACTTTAACCACTAGGCCATCAGGGCTGCCTCTTGGTGACATTATTTTAAGAGACCTTTTATAAAACTATCTGAGAACCAATCTTTATATTTTTGAGTTTGAATTTCAGTTCTGTTATAATTGCATAGTTATATTTTTTTCTGGTACCTTATTTCAGATATTGTATTTTCTATGCTATGGTTTTATTTTTATAATCTCCATATTTTCTTAATTAAAACAAATTTTCCTCAGGTTTGATTTATATATTTTGTTTTTATTATCCTCCTTTTTTTCTCTCAACTTTTACAGGGCCATACATATGTTTATTTTTCCTAATCTGTTTATAAATATATTATCTATCTGTATTTATATATTTATATCCACTGCCTGTTTATCTATCTATCTTTTTCCCTCCAAATAAGGAAAGTTCTTCAGCATTTTTCACCACTTATGCTCCTTCTTCTGCCTGCCATTTCCATCCCAAAGCAAGTTTTCCTGGATGTCTTCTCTTTGTCATGGCTTTGATTAACATTAAAATTTCATAAGTTATCTACTTTTTCATATTCCTTATATATCTTTGCTTTCTACTGCAGCAATTTTTTTAAAAATTCTTTCAAAGAGGATTTTAATCAGATGAAGTTTCTGAGCCTGTGTAACTGGAGAAACCTCTTTATCTTTTCAAAATGATTATTCTGGTAGACGTACATTTTAGGTTCATAGTCTTTTTTATTTTTTCCACTGACATGTACTTCTTTTTTGTAAAAGTAAGATTTTTCCCTCTGGAAGCTTTTAAAATTTTCTTTTGGCATTGGATGTTATTAAATTTAACTTAATATATTCACAAATATTCTCCCCTCCCCCTCTTATCTTTTTGGTTCAATATTGTCAAAAAACAAAATTCAGCTGACTAAATTCTACAGATCTTATTGGCTTTATTCAACAATTCCTGAGTTGAACAGCATTCTGTCTAGCAGATAGAAAGGAGCTGTGAGTTGCTGTGCAAAATGAAGGACTTGTATAAGCAGAAGGGAGAAGGGCAAGGAAGTTATATGAGCAAAAAGCAGATCAGTAATAGCAAGGCTGTTTTCCTTTAGCAGATGGCAAGGGTCTCTCAGGAGGATGACCCCACCAGGTCTGACCAGTGATTCCTGATGGACTGGTTTAAGATTCCACTCCTGGGAGAGGCCTGAAACTGTAATTAAGCTAAACCTTGGATTGGTGATGGAGTGGTTAGCATGAGTGACTCCATTTTGGGCCTGTTGAGTTGTTTTTAACAGTATATTATGAACCCCTTGAATCTGAGGTTTTAGTTCTGAAAAAGTCTTGGTCATTATTGCTTCAAATATTCTCTTATTTTTTCTGTCCTGGGACTATTATTAAATGAATACTAGTACTTCTATTTATATCCTTCATATCTCTTACTTTCTCGCTCATTATTTCTATTTCTTTATCTCTGCCTTCTGTGAGAGTGCCTGGACTTAATTGTTCAGCTCACTTGTTTGTTCTTTAGTTGAG